ATGGGTTTTATAGTGCGTGTGCCTGTGCTGCTCAATGGTTTGTAGATGTTTGGTGATATTGTTTCCCCCACATTTCTGCAGAACTGTTTACTAAAAGTTTAAAATCTGTATTTGACAGGATTTTATCTGATCATTTAAATAATATTGTAAATGGGTTACTTTATGTCTGCCCTTCTCTCTCAGACACACACGCACGCACACACACACACACACACACACACACACACACACACACACACACGCACACACACACTTATCACAACACGTATCCCTGCATTACAACTTCCCTGCTGTATTTCGTGAAATATCTGTAAATTGACAACTGAACTGTCCGATGTTTAAGATTATAAATAGCAAGGTTGGTGCTTTTATTAAAGCTCAAATAACCAGTCCACAAGGTTTTCTCCGAGAGGGGACTGTATATTGTACAATCCCCTACAGGAGCAGCTCCTTCAGCCTGTAGCTTTTGTTAAATAGCCTCTTAAATGAGGTATCACAAGGCATGGCTTCGTGAGTGCTTCTTAAAAGTCAGCCACGTGAACACTCCTAATCCACAAAACATTTGCTATTCATCATCATTAATAACATTATTGTTATTTTGCAGGGCTGCAACTAACCATTTCACTGTCAATTCATTTACTGAATAATTTATCCCAGAGCCTGCAGGAACGTCTTCAAATTAGCCTACTTGTTAAACTCAAAGATATTACGTTTACAATTGCATAAAACCATAAAGCCAGAACCAGCTAATTATAGAGGTCATTTTTCCTTTATAAGACTTAAAGGGGAATTTGACCAATTTCACCCATCAAAATCTGTTTACTAATATTCACTAATTCACTAATATGTCTGTTGGGTTATTACATGTCACAGAAAACATTGTATGAGTTTAAGTCTGACGTGAAGTGGAGTCGATTTGTTTTATTTAAGACCGTTAAGGAAATTAGTCAGTGATGGACTACATGTTTCGTGATCATTTATAAAACTCATGTCAAAAATAGATTTCATTGGCCGAGATGAGGCTAGAGCACTGATTGTTGGCCTTGTTTGGTCTGAAAAGAGCATTTTCGCAATTTAACATAATAAATCCATTTTAATGCTTAAATAATGAACAGCTTTGTCCTTTGGGAGTTTTCTCATTTCTCGCAGGATAACTCTGGATGAGCATGCTGCTTACATTGGCAGTCTTACAGCAAGGCCCATGCAAGATGTTTCTACCACAACAAAAGGTTTATAGGTCAGAGATTAAAGGGGGAATCCTTTCATTATGCTCCAGAGTGGCCACCCTCAATGCAATTCATTAAACTGCCCATTTTGAGATGTGCAAGATATTTCATCACAGACACTAATGGTTCTTTATGGTAAATGATGGGTTTGTGGTCATCAAAGTCTGAATAGGGAAGCTTTAGGTCTGTGGTAGGCAAACAGCCAAATCTGTCCCTCAAACAAAATTTGGCTGAATGAAGTTTTCCATTCCTATTTTTTTTGTACATGACTTTTCATGTATCTGTTTTATGTGTTGTATACAACTGTGTGAATACAAGCTTATGTAAATATGACACTGTTACATCTCATAATAATAATGAATGCCCTACATAAAGAGAGGCATGACCGCTGAGGCTTCTGTGCGAAAGTACATTCTGCATTAGCATTAGCGTTTGAACAGTGCAACGTAAGGTGCTGCAATTAAATCTATAACAACATATATTCAAAATATCTCCTGAACTTCAAACACAGTTTTGACTCCATTGTTTTAAATGTTTTACCTGACCAAACAGGTGGCAGCCGATCAGAAGTTATGCATATATTTATTTTTCCAGGGCAACAACAACAATATTTTAACCATAATAATCCAACTATTGTGACACAATGTGACGACACAACATCTTCATCGCCTTACTGAACACATAATTGAGCTGAAGTCGATCCCATTAGATGTTGCTTTTGGTTGACTGTGCTGCTGAGGTCTGAATGTCAAGCTGTCATTCGGGGCTATAAGGGAGCACAAAGAGCTGCTGGATTAAATGAAAAAGAAGAGAAAAAGTAGCTGTACCACAATCTAAAAATACTCAGCTACAACTGAACGAATGCATTCAAACAATATCTTGAAAGTTAAAGTACACAAATATCAGCAAAATATAAAAGTATCAAAAGTAAAAACACATTCAACATAATTGCACCTAAGTGTGGATTACTGGAGCTATTTGCTGCTTTATATATGTTACTATTTGGAAGTTTATTTTATAAGAATATTTTATAAAGTGATTATATTGTAAGTAAAAATTTACTCTTTTATGTAACTAGTAACTTAGGTAAATGTAGAAGAACAATATTTCAATCTGAAATGTAATGGAGAGCAAGTATAACGTAGCATAAAGTGGAAATACTCAACCTCAAAACTGTACTTAAGTCTTAAGCACAGTACTTGAGTAAATGATACTTAGGTTAATTATGGCAGTGGAATCGGGCACAGTATTGAATTGCTTTTCTCTTCTGTCATTCCTTCATCTATTTGTCTCTCAGAGGTTGTCATAGGGTGAACCTGTTAGTGATGATCAGTACGAGACCAATGATGTGAGGCTAAAGCACTTTCCAAAAGCAAAAGATGTGTATATTGCCATCAGAAGCTCTGTTCCACTTTTTATAATTTATATATATATATATATATATATATATATATATATATATATATATAT